TTTTAATTTATTCACATTTCCTTTTTTATTTCCTTACATCTTACATAAACATATACCAACTAAAATTAAAATTTAGAATCCCATTTCGGGATCACTGGCAACGCCGATAGAGCAAAAGTGCAGTAATGCCTCAATTTTTAGTTCTTCATCAACCGTAAAATTAGCATAAGTCTAAACTTCAGGTCAAAAATCGAGAAAAGCACAAACTAATAGGATAAGAGACGTAAGGCATGTGGTGGTGCGCTTACGATTTATGGTGGAAGCATCAAAAAAAATACAGCAGCATTTCTCTTTTTCTCCATTATTCTTCTCTTTATTTAATGGACATTTATACATGGGTGGATAACTCTGCCAATTAAATTCTTCAAGAGACGAAACGAACGTCAAGAACAAGAGCCGACTGATCATCGGCAGATGCAAATGCCAGCTTTATAATTAGAGAACATCGCTACAAATTGTATTCAATCAAAGTATTGAAAGCATATTCGATGGTTTGTTAAATATTTTAAATGTTAGATTGCATGTCGATGTGTAATAGAACCTAAACTGCAATTTGGCAATGTGCCAAAGGCTTAGAGAAAAAAAAAAGTAACCAAAAAATTGCCAGAGCTGTATCCCCCGCCCCCACACCCCTCAAAAAAACAAGCAAAAATCGTTAAAACTCTCCTATTTCTGGCTTACCTCACTGTTTGTCGCCACGCTACTGACCGTGGCTGTATCATCATCATCTTCGTCATCGAATAACCCGTCATCATCGCTACCCATCACTACTTCCGTTGTGACCTGCTCTGCGTTCATTTCACTGATCAACGATCGCACACACTGTATCGATCCTTGTGCTGTGAAAAACGGATGCTGAAAAAAAAAAATCCAACGGTTAGCTTGCTTCAATTAAACCGATTATAACAGCCAGGTTGACTTTGGAAGCCTAAATGGCGAAGGCGTAACAGATTACAAACATGGGAGAACAGTTGGAGAGAGGAAGGTAAGAGTGAGATAAGACGTTTCGGTAAATTTAAAATTATTGAGTGAGGGGTCTTATTAATGTTTAAATCTGCTGCGATTAAACAAAATAACTAGGCAACGTGCTCCCAGGAATAACTGTAAAAGCTGTGCCTCATAGACTGACTCTTCAACTAGACACCTTTTCCAACTCCTCTGACCAATGTTGCATTGCCTGTGGTCATTCTACTGGCGATTTCGGCGTTCGATTCGTCTCCTGAAGGTATTACCAGCTCAAGGACCTCCTAAAATATGAGCCAGGCAAGGTTTTAACCATTTTAGGGTGTCCTCGTGTATGCTGAGCATCACCGATCCCTCTCAACGTTACCAGCTCTGAACTACGTCTAGGTGTCTTTCCTGTACCAGCAATATTTCTACATCTTGCACTACACAGTTCGTTCTATTCTTGCCTTCTTTTTTAAGTTCTTCATATTACTTTCATGGTACAATCATGCGATAATCAGCTTAGCGATTAGAAATGAAATAATCCAAATAAGTCAATCCTAAAGCAATTCACTTTAGTAAATTCAATTCCATTCAAGTGTGCGCCTGTAATTCATTTTACTCCAAACGAAGAAATAATCGGCTAACCATGAGCACATCGGCAGCTGTTGGCCTATTGTCCGGATCTTTTGTTAAACATTGAGCGACAACGTTGCGAAAATTTGCAGACCATTTTTGAGGACGCTCCAGAGTCGGAGGATCCGCTTTAATAACCTGCAAAAATTAGCAAGATCCTGGACCAATTATGGTTTCATTCACCAAAAGAAACCCTCACATTTTTTCTTCTTAAAGAGGAAGAGGCAAGCAAAAGTAGTCCGAGTGGTAGCAAATGTCAATAATGACTACCCGATTTCCCCCTTCTTTCGAAAGTTGCTTAGCGAAAAATAATATGATGGAAGATCAATTATCATAAATAGAACAAAAAAGTTGATTAAATTGTCAAGCTAGTTGAAAGAAAATTTGAAGTTGAAACAAAAGTCTGATTTCACTTTAAGGAAACTTCCAACATGTATAGAAAGTTTGGAAAATCTGAAGTCATCTTGAGGATAATTTCAGCACATATAGAAAGTTCACGTAAAATCCGCGATAAAAAGCAAATTGTACATTTTTGCTCTACTGAATCTGTTATTAGGGGGACACAGAGGCAGTCAGTGTTGCTGTCTGTTACTTTGAACACTGTTGTAAGCAGCTAAACGTAGCTTGTGACCCAAATTTTCAATCTCTAAGATGCTATTATATGCCTATACCGATGGATATCTTCAGTATTCAGTAATCAGTAGGAGAACATCACAAATACCAGTAATAGCTGTTAGTTCCTAGTCAGAATTTCCAGGATTTCCCAATAAGATTTCCATCGAATACGATCTTGTGATTTTCGTATTGACACCATAGGCGAATCTAGGGCGGTCTACCTGCGGATTGGGGATGGGGAAGGGGAATCTAGGGCGGTCTCCTGCGGAGTTTTCTTCAGTTTTAGCTTTAGACCCA